CAAGGAAAGTTTTAGCCTTAAATTCCTTCCAACGGTCAGGTCCTTACATCGCTGTTCAATACTTGAACATCGCTGTTTAGGTCTGACTTTGAAGGTGGAGTTTTGGCCTGACAGCGCTGTTGCTGGGTCAACATCGCTGTCCTGAAACTTTCTGCCAATGCACTATATTTTTGGCTTAGGTTGGACAGCGCTGTAGGGAGTCCTACATCGCTGTTCCAGAAGTTTCTGGAAATCCAACCTTGGCTCAACAGCGATGTCTAACATCCAACATCGCTGTTGGAAGACTTAACGCCAAACTATGGTTTTCAGCTACCCAATCCAGACAGCGCTGTTGGTTACACCAACATCGATGTTGGGCTGGTTTAGCCAGGCCCATGGTTTGTTTAGTCAGCCGTTAGCCGATGTCAAAAATGTAAGTTCTCCAAAATAAAAACCAAGTATTGAAAATGTTTGTTTAATGAATTTTTCTAAGAAATCAAGTAAAACATTCTGAAAACCATGTCATTTAGTTGAAAACCACGGCTAGCCAAGTTTACGCCGTTTCGCATGGTTTTCACTAAACGACCAAAAACGAAAGGTGGTTTTTGAAGCGTTTTTGTTGGAGAACTATTTAAATATGCCTAGAAGGAAAAACCAATCATAAAAAGTTAAAAACCACTTGGTTGGTTCGGATGCCCAAAAACCAATGCTTAAAACCGAAAGCCGAACGCCGGTTTCTGAAAGCCGAACGCTGGATGACTTGGTTTTTGGTTTGGGCGAACTCCAGGTGTTTTTAGCCAGGTTTGAAAACTTATGAAAAACATTTTTGAATTTGCAAAAAGGGTTTTGATGAATTGAAGTTTGTGCCGGTCTCGATCACATTAAGACCGACTCGATGCAATTCTAATTCTTTGTTCTTGATTCTTGGTTCTTGGTTCACATGTCATCATGCCGTGTTTCTTCGCCTTGGTTTTGCTCACTTTAGCCTTGTTGTGTCACGGCGGTTTGGCATTATCAAAACCTGTCATAAAAACGAACACAGTTTAGTACGACGTAGGCGTAAACCCGTGTTCCAACAATTTCCCCCTTTTTGATAATGGCAAACAAGACGGGGATATGCATATTAAGGGATATTTGATTTTCAAAAAGTTGTGAAAAAGTTCCCCCTTAATTTGTGCTTAAAAAAAATTAGTCGGATTAAAATCAAACGGTCTCGTTTTTAGAGGCGTTCCCCCTTAGTATATGCATAGCCCTTTTCTTCCCCCTTTTGACATTAACAAAAAGATA